CGAAGTCATCCTCTGTTGCCAGTCTTCTCCGCCAAGCGCACCTAGCAGAGGCAACCTGGCGCACAGGTTCTTCTTCCTCCGCATCATTCGCCGCGGCTGGAGTGCTCTCCGGACTAGAGATGGAGCGTCAGTGTTGTGTGCTTGCCGGAGGGCAGTGTAATGTGTGCTTGCGGGTGGCCAAAACTGCGTGCTAGAGGGGCATGGCTGCTGTCCAGCCGTCGTTCTATGTAATGTACTATGCATAGGGCTCGGCAGGCGGGGGGGAGGGTTGAAAAATACGGAATCGCCCCCCCCCCCCCCTCTCCATTTGGTCCTTAGTCCTTAATCCAGTTTCGAGCAGTGCACTTGACGAGCCCCCTTGGGATCACGCCGCCTGGGCGGGTGCCGACCGCGGCCAGCAATCAGCCAGGCCAATCCATGGCAGCGCGGCGTAGATCTGCCCACGAGGTGGGGGTGCGTGTGGGATCGGTGCCGAGCTGCCGAGCTGAGCGGAGAACATATTGACCAAAGATGCGGCCAGCACCCGTGGGTCGGGGGGAGATGTTTGCTCATTTTTCGTCGGCAAGAGGTCACCAACTCATGTTGTTTGTTGGGCAAATGGAGTGCAATCGGTTTTGCCTTCTCCGTTTTTAACGTCCGTGTGTGCAAACCGTTTCACACGCCCCAAGAATCTGGCAGAGACACGCCATCTCTCAGGAGATGCCTGGCCCTTCGCGTCCCCGGTTTTTTCGGGACATTTCAAAGGTGCTTGGCACGCCGCTCATCTCAAACGCGGGCGGGCTTTCGACACCCGATCCCGATCTACAACCGCGCGGGGCAGGAAGATCTGGCTGCGGTGGAGGGGGGGAGGCGAGCAAAGAGAGAGGAGGGAGAGAGCAGCAAAAGCAGGTGGATTTGCTGTCTTCAAGAGCGGGCTTCAAATTGTTGGTTGTGGTTTTGGCGCAACGAGATGAATAGTACATGGGGGCACGTGTACAAAATGCGTCTTGTCCTGGGAGGGATCAAGTCCACCGCTCGCTGTAGCTCGCTCCTCACATGACCAGAGGGGAGTGAGGTCGAGGGAAGGACACTGATCAGCTGTTGAGAGCTGATTTAGATAAACGTTGGAGACTTGTTTTTTGCGCTTGGGTTCCCTCTAATAGGAGCCTTTTTTCCCAGATAGTGCCCTTGAGAGAGGGAGGGAACCTGTGATTTCGACCCCTTATTTGAGTCTTGTTGTAGTACTCGCACAAGCATGACGCTCAAGTGCCGCGCTGCCTTTTCGTGTCCTCTCCCCCGCTGCTGGACCTTGCTTGCCACTGCAGCAGCGGAATATGTGGAGTGCCGTGTCCCAGCTTGTAGCCGGGGTCTGGGCAATCCTGACCTGTCCGGGGCACCCTCCCGTGAGGTTTCCGCCTCTGGTGAGTCCAGTTCCGGCGTACGACGCCCGGATTTTACCGGTTCTTGCCCGGGACGTGGTGCTGGCTTTGACGGTGAGTGATGCCCATTTTTAGCTTGGTTTGCGGCGGTTGGCCTTCGCACCGCGTCCCCTCCTAGGGCTTTCTGTGTATCGGCGCCGATCCTGTCGTGTTTTGGGGATGGCCCCATGTCTGTGCCATGCGTTGATTTCCGTAAACGATGCTTCGTGCGGAACAAGCAGAGGGGGTACTTGAGAAGAAACGAAGAGCACCGTATGGCCCGCGTGCAAGAACATGTCCTCCAGTGAAAAATCGTGTGGGTGTGTTCAACAGCGTCAGAGCACACCCCGCCCGCACATATTACGCACGCAGCAACACCAGACGTGTTCTCGCGCTTGAGGTACAAAGGACTTTGGCATTGGTTCCAAGCGATGTTTGCGCTCTGCAGGCTGGCTTGCTAGAACACATGTCTTTGTATTTGCTGTAGACACTTGACCACTACTGCACCATCAACAACCGTAGTGCTGGAAGAACGTTTCGAAATTGAAGAGCACGACGCCGCAGAACCACCAGCACCGGCAACCGGCGCCATGATGACGGGTTGAGCCGATGAGACCCGTCACTTACCTCCCCCCCCACCCTCACCCGCCACGGTTGCCTCTTGCCGCAAGGTTTCCATGTCGTGAACCGCATCCCCGACTACCTCCGCCGCTCTACCGCTGCCCGCCATGAGCTGGACGAGGCCCTTCCCGACGTCGACGACACCCTTCCCGACTGTGGGGTGCCGTTTGACATCGACCGCGTCGGGCAGTACTGCGGTGACGGAGGGCAGCAGCAGTACGACCAGATGGGCTTCCCGTATCCCTCGTTCTACTCTATTAATAGGGGGGAAAACGACGACCTACGCCGCGGACGCCGTCTACAGCGTGCCCAGCTTCCGGCACGAGGACCGGGTGACCAGCTCGGACGGCGCCGTGGAGATGGCTGTGCCCATCGCTCCTTTCGATGTGCACACAGACGGCGTGTACTCGTTTGCCACGTTCTTGCGGGACTTTCCGGTGGAGAGGGGAGTCATGCACTGTGGTGTGGTAGCCACGTGGTCTTGCCTCCAAGGCTTATATGTGTCGTTAGCTATTGATGAACCTCGTACCATAGCAGCAGCTGAAGTAGACATCTATTTATTGACCTCGACCTATCATCCCCCCCGGCGCGGAACGAGGGGGGGGGGGGGGGCAGAGTGGTCACCTCCAGAACGAAAACAACAACCACTCGAACAGCAGCAGCCTCAGTGGAGTGGCTACAGCACTTGACGGGTATGGCATACATTTTCTTTGACTAAGCCCACTTTGCACTCGACCATCGGTCCCATGCCGTCCTCTTTTTTTTTCGGTGTTTGCCCTCGATCAGACCTCTAGCGCACCGAGGTTCTGCAGCAAATTCGTACGAACCGAACGACTTATTCTGCAGAATCCCAGACTGTAGTTCATTACGCTAGCCGGCCTCTCTGTCCCCCGCCTTCCTCCTTGCGGCTGCGATACTGCGCTCTCCCCCCGCCCAAAATGCGCGTACCCTTTCGCTTGTCAAAATAGGAAGCACAGTAGAGGACCTCCGTGTTGCCCAGGAAGTGACCGCCCCCTCTGTGACGGACACCCCGTTTATGGAAGGCGAGAGGCTGTGCTAGGTGATGCCCATCCGCGAGTACCCGGTGTCTCACCGGGAAAACCCGCATGTCTCACCGGGTACTCGCGGATTGGTACCACCAAGGGAAGCGTCTCGCCTTCTCCATAAACGAGGTGTCCGTCACAGAGGGGGCGGTCATATCCGGGGCAACACAGAGGTCCTCTTCCTATTTTGACTGACGAAAGGGGCACGTGTATTTTGGGCGGAGGGGCGAGCGCAGTATCGCCGCAGCAAGGAGGGGGGGGGGGGGTACTCTTATGTTTTGCATGTCTTAGCGGTTAGACCGTTGACCACGCGTCCTCGAGAGGACGGAGCATTGTTCCCACAGGACCGATCACCAATGGCCAATCGTTCCTTCCTACTTTGCCAAAGGTGGCTCAAAAACGTCTTCCCGAGTCTGTCTATCCTAACGATATCCCTTCCCGCCTTTTCAAACCACTTCCTACTCCCCAGAACAGCTACCGTCCTCTCCTCTCTATTCCATGCCTCAAACATCTCCCTGTACCTCCCTTCTATTTTTCCCAGCTCGGTCATGTACACTTCCCTCTCCTCTTCGTACCACGGACATTCCGCGACTACATGAATACGGTCTTCGCACTCGAAGCCGCAATCACATTTGAACTTGTCGTCTTCGTCGTCTACCGTCCTATGTCTTCGTCGACGTTCTTGAAGGCCTATGTCCCTGGTCCTGAATTTGACCTTAAGCTTTGTCCCTGCATCCATTGGTCCATGTAGGTAGTCCTTGAATCCTATTCCTTCTTTCAACATTCCGTACACTTCTAGACCCTCCTTATCCTTGGTTTATTTCCTTAGATTCCGTTCTTCTCTCTCGGCATAACCTACAAGTATCTTCTCCTTGAACCCCTGTAGACCCTCCGTTTCCAGCGTTTCATCTTCGTCGGTGTCTAATCCCTTCCATACGGAGGGGGGGGGGGCAGAAAGTCGGGTGAACAGATTGAACAATCCTTCTGGGATGCTGCACAAGTCGTTCGGTTCGTACGAACATGCTGCATCTGCAAATCGTCACGCTTAAGATAAGAAACGAATACGGCGTGCTCGACGTCTGGTCGACACGGCGCGTACTTACTTTTTGCTTATCTTCAGCATCATATTTGTAGGTTGCTGTGGAGTTCATTTGGGGCTTCATTCGTCGAGAAGTTGTTGCACGCCTGTATTGTTGTCGCAGGACACCCAAGCCCCTAACAATTGCTAGATATGGCCTGCCACTATGCATGTTGTACCTTTGATTATTGTGAGGCCGGTGGAATCAATCATGCTCCCCACGGGGGAAGAAGGCGAGGGCGGGGGACCAAACCCAAGCAACTCCAATGTTGTTTGGCGGTGAAGCGCAGTCATGGCCTTGCTCAACCTTCCCTCTCCCAAACATCCCCCCCCGCTGATCTCCACGTTGCTTCCCCCTCGCATGTCGCAGAGAGCCAGCAAGACCGACGACGAGACGTGCGCGGCCCTCACCTGCCACGAGGCCGGTGCATGTGCGCTCGCCACGTTGCCCACCTTGGCGCCTCTCGATCTTCGTGACATTCACGAGCGTGTCGTGCAGGCCGAGGCGCGCCAGGCTGAGCTGAGAATGCTGCGGTGCGCGGCCCTTACCTGCGATGAGGCCGGTGCACGTGCGCTCGCCACGCTGCCCACCGTGGCGCCCCTCGGTCTTCGCCACATTCACGAGCGTGTCGTGCTGGCCGAAGCGAGTCGGGCTGCTCTGGAGATGCTGCGGCAGACCGCAGACCTCCAGCGCCTCTTCCCCGAGTGGGAGGGGACCATGGTGTGCCACGCCATCGACCCCGACGACGATGATGATGATGATGATGACCACGTGAGTACCGCCCTCCGTAGATGACGCCTGTAGCGTGCGAAAAAACAGAACGTGGGGAACCGTGCGGAGGTAGCTGCTATGGCGACGTCGTGGTTGGCAGTAGCAGTGACTCCCTCTACCAGTAATGCCGCTGCTGTTGCTACTGCTGCTGCTGCTGTTGTTTGAACATTCCACCGTCGAGGGTTGATGCTCATGGCAACCCAGGTAGATGTTATTTCTCGGGCGCGTACAACTAGTACTTGCCGACGGCATCAAATTGTTCTTGTATGTGCGAGGGGTGTGCGCATGGGGGGGCGGGTTTTATGTTCCCTTTTTCAACACCGCGACGTTCAGCTTCAAACCACAGTATCCCCCCCCGCCTGCCGCCCGCTGCCCTCCGGTCGCGGCCCGAACGCCTGCCCGTTGGAATCCCAGAGCGACCCCCCCCACCGTCTACACCTTCGCCTGTGTAAAGAGAGTGATGTCGAGAGTTGGAGCGCTGGCGCATCCCGTGCTCGAGCATGTTGGAGGCTATGTGACCTGCGTCGGCCGGCGCCTCTCGGCGATCAACGTGTCGGCGACGCTGTCAAGGTGTGTGCTGTCTGTGGTCGGTCACGCTGGTGATAGTCCGCTTGCTGCTTCTCCGGCAGTTCTACGTCTGCAGCGATAGTCACAGCCTGTCCCTCAGCTCGAAGCAGGGTCGCCCAGAACTTTCTCCCTCAGTACACGAGCCCGGTCTTCCTTTCCCAGGGTACTGCTCTTACCCTCCTACGTACCGCTTGCGCCCAGCTACACTTGTCTTTTTCGCTGGACGATGACCAGGCCAGTTTTTCTCCGTGATCTTGCCTGCACCCTCGTTTCTTTTCGTGACTCTAACGAAAGTATCCAGTGCTGGTGTTGCTTGTTGACAAACTAATCGTGCCAAGAATTCAGGTAAAGGTTCCTTGTTGAATTGCAATGGTGGTGGTGGTGGTGGTGGTGGTGCTGCTGCTGCTGCTGCTGCTATTTCCAGCATTCCATCTTGTTGTCGTCCCTGCTGCATCGTGTTTGTGTGTGTCCACGGCTGGTGGGCCAATCATCTACCGAGAGGTGTCGACTGGTGCCCAGAGTGGATAAGACTGAACGCTCGGTAGCTGACAACTACTTTATGTACGTTCCCAAGAAACGAACTGCATGAGCAAGACCTAGCCTATCTCGGTGTTGTGTCTTGTACAACCACGACCTTCCGTGTGGTATCACAGGATGGTCCTTGAACGTGTTCATGATATTGGTGGTGATGATTGTGAAACGTTTTCGGTAGTAATGCTACGACCGTGGCGATGCTCATCCCGCCCGGGATTCCGCCATCCTCATTTCCTACGTGCAAACGAGCGAGGGCTCATCGCTCTTTCTCCCACCCTCCCTCGTTGTTCCGCTCTCTTTGCCCTCGTTCTCCATCGGATAGCCGACTATTCCACAGATGCTTGGGGAGCATGGCGGCCATTTCCTCGTCGGACTTCAACCTCCCCTGGCTTTCAGCCTACGATCTGCTGGTTGGTGCTTTGCTGGTGGATGTCGTCGTTCGGGCATCAAAGGTCTGCTGGCGCTCTCTCGGAGGTGGTGGTGGCGAGGTGACGGCGGACGGTGGCAAAGCGCTGCCACCGGCGCCATCCGGCGACGCCCTGATGAAGCGCGAGTGCGTGAAGTTCCGCGCCGATTTCGCGGGCGCAGAGGCCCGGATTGAGCAGGAGCACCGTACCGGCCTCGAGTCATTGCACGAGATCGTCCAGCGTTGCTTCGACGAGCACTCTCGCGGCATCGAGAAAAACCTCAAGATTAGGATGAAGAAGCAGAAGGCGGACATTACGAGGAGCTTCGCGGGGCAGATGGAGGCACTGAAGCGCAAATACGCCGCCGAGCTGGAGCCCGGTCCCGCCGAGCGTGCCGCCGCTGCGTTGGAGCGGGGTAAGGCCGAGGTTTCCTTCCAGGAGACCATCGCGGCCCTCAAGGCTAGGCTTGCGAGGGAGGCAAGCGAGGGTAACGAGCAGCACGACCTCACCCCTCAGGTAGCGGCCCCCTTGCATGGCTCGGCGCACGCGGGCGGGATCGGCGGGGCGGAGGAGACGAAGCAGGAGGAGGGGGAGGAGGAGGAGGAACAAGGGGCCGGGGCGGAGGAGACGAAGGGGAGGAAGAAAGCGAAGACCCGGCGGGGGCTGAAGCAGGGAGGAAGGAGGCAGCCGCAACCGCAAACGGGCCGCCAATAAGACCGGCGCTGTCTCGAAATGGTCGTGCGGCACCTCCGTGGGGGGGGAAGGAGGGTACCTGCACCGGCGCGTGGTACCAAACAGCGCATCAGCCCACCGACTTGCGGCGAGGGTTAATCTCGTTGGCTTCTGTTATCTCTTTCCCTCTGATTGCCCTCTGCGGCGGGTGCGGTGGCCAGACAATATCCGTCCCTTTTGGACTGTCGCAGCCCAGCCAGATATGTTCTTTTCGTTATGGTAGCGCGCATCACGCGCGGAGTTCCTTTGGTTTTAGCGCCATCAACCAAGCAAATAGCTGTGCTTGTAGCTAATTGTTTCATTCGTGGATTTCGGACTCAGCGTGTTGGTGGAAAAATTGGGCCGTTGTTGCTCTGGCCCCTACTCCTCTGATGCTACATCTTGGGGAGAAAATTATGCAATCCGTGCCTCCTTTGTCCGTCTTTGCTTATTGTGTGTCGTTGATTGACCATGAGGGATGAATGAACGAATGAAGGAGGCGGTCTTTGTAGTGGTTTTGTTGATTTTCACTCAAGCGTTGCTGCAGGGACCAAACTGTTCAGCCCCTGCTGCTCCTGTGACGCTGCAGTGAATGAAGGAAAAGCATGGGCTCGGTGGTGTTGTTCGTGCATACATGTAGTTCACTGGGTTTTGCACGCTCTAGAAAATATTGGCTTGTCTCGGAACTTCTTTGTGCGGTCTCGCCTTTCTCTCGTAAAGCTGCAGCATGCCGATGCAGTACTGCTAGAGTTTTCACCGTTCGTGTGTGGTTCACTGGGTTTTGCACGTTCTATGAAATATTGGCTCGTCACGTTTTAGTACGGTCTCGCCTTTTCTTTGTAGAGCTTGTTGCATGCCGACGCAGTACTGCGCGTGTTTGAACCTTTGATGTGTAGTTCAATGGTTATTGCACGTTCTACGAAATTGGCTTGTAATTGTTACTGCGGTCTCGCCTTTTCTTCCGTAGAGCTGTGGCATGCCGGTGCCGTACTGCAGGAGTCTACACCGTTTGTATGCGATTCACTGGTTTTTGCGCGCTCTTTGAGAGCTGTTGCATCCCGATGCAGTACTTCTAGAGTTTACCACACTGTTAGTGTATGGTTCACTGCTCTTTGAGAGCTGTTGCATTCCTCGACGAACATAATCGACGACTCTAGTTGTTGGTGATCGTTTGTTTGTCTAAGACCGCAGTTAAGTGCTTGGTGTGCATGGTTCGTTTCTCCGGAAAATTGGCCAGTTAAGGTGTCGTGTGTTGTTCGTTGATTGAGCACTCTGAAAGTTGTGGGAAGAGAATGCGCTCTTTCTCGACAGGCACGCTTCGATGTTGTGTTTCACGCCGAATCTGTTATGCGTTAGTTTGTTTGTGTGTGTGTTATATTTTCACTTCTGTGTGTCCATCTGCAACACACTTTGTTGACAAATTTGCCCTATATGGGCAGCAGGCACAGCGATGGCGACCCGGGGGGTAAATGGCGTCGACCTGCGGCTGGTTGTTGCGTCGTTCGGTTAAAGTAGACCCGCGGGAGTGGAAGGACCACGGGGATTGACTAAGACTTGGTACATTTTTGTAATCATGAACACATGTCAGCCCCGTCTTGGGTGTGCGTGAACGTCGCCCGTTTGCTTCTAGTTTGGGAGATCATGTGGGGCTTACGACGACTTTGAACACCGCCGTCCGTCCGTTGGTATGGGTGCCCGACATCTTTTTCGATCAATTTGGTGTCAACGCGGCGGGTGTTGTGTGAACGAATATGCACGACGCATCGCGTTGAGTTTTTCACCAGAACCTGCCACGCAGTCTGCCACTCGTGCACGCCTCGAATCTAGAGGTAAAAGTTCGCAATCATTTGTGAACAGTCTCTCCGACCTAAATCATCTGTGTCACACTCATATTCCGTTTCCTCAAAAAACGATCTCTACCTACTGTATGGCGCACGGCTCGCGATATCTTGAGTATGCTTCGATAGGGTATCCCGAATCATGGCCAATCACCAAGTTTGATCGACTTCTGTGCAACCGTGCGTCACCAGGGTCGGCCATGTGCGACCATGCGCGCTGGTTCTCTTTCGTCTTCACTAGTTCGCCGTCTTCCTGTCTTCGTCGCTCGTTTTAGTCAGCTTGGCGAACATAAAAAAACCGATGTCGAACTGTTGCGCAATTTTTCGCGATATCTTGAGTACTCCTCGATATGTAGGTCTTACCGAGAGCGATAAGTTCACTTCCGCCTGCGCGCAGCAGCAGGCACAACACGTGTGCGACCATTAATTTCCACGCCTTTACCACATCGCCGTCTTGATGTCGATCTTCTTTCGATCCGGAACCATTTCGGAAAAAAAGGAATCGCTCGCCTTCCCGAAGTTCTGAAAAACCGTTTTTCCTACTCTTGTAGTGAAAAAATGTCGGAATACATGAATATCGAGTTGGTCGGTGGGGGTTTCTGGCCCCCTCGCTCAATGAATTTCAGGTCAACGAATTTCACATTTCCTTTCTTGCATGAAGAAGAAGTTTGGAGGAATGAATCTCATTCTTCCTAATGGTCGAAAAGATGCGGGAACAGGAATGTCAGGGTGTTGGCCGGTGGACCCCTCGCTCAATGAACTCCGAGAAATGAACCTATGTCTCTGCCCCCCGAAGAAATTTGAATCTCACTTGTCGCAAAATTATGGTACAGTGATTTCGGAAGAAAGGAATGTCAGGTTGTTGGCCGGTAGGGGTTTCCGCCCCCCTTGCTCAATGAGTTGTGGAGAATTATACTCATAAAAGCTCTGTCCCGGTACATTAAAAATTTGCCCAATGAATCTATCTCACTTCTTCCCCTATCGTAGCTAAAAATTATAGCAGAAATGAATCTCACTCCTCCTGGCATATTGTCAAACTACTTGGAAGAAAGGAATCCCAGGTGGTTGGTGGACGGGACTTTCCGCCCCTCTCGCTCAACGAATTTCGGAGAAATGAATCTCACTTCTCCAATAGATATTTTGTAGAAAATGCTCGGAAATATGGAGTCTCAATTGCTTGGCCAGCGGGCTTTCCCGCGCGCCCCCGCTCTGCCCCCACTTGCCAGACACATCATCGTCCATCGCATCATCCACCGTCCACCATCGTCATCCAACTGCACCGCATCATCCATCGTTGTCGGGCATACCGCATCATCGTGCCGTCGGACGCAGCTGCGATGTCCGTGGAGGGCCTGCGCGTCGTCGGACTGGAACGCCGGGAGTACCCGGTCATCATGGCGGACGATGCAACACCCTTGTGTGCAAAGGCACTTCATCGAAGGCACTCTCTTTCGACGGAGACAAGTGAGCAATATGTGGATCGTAGTCTTGAGTACACACTCATCTTTGGTACCATCGCCACTCAGATGAAATTCACTCCTGCCTCGCTGCTGTTACTGGTCATGTCAAGATTTTATCAAGTACGGGCTCGTTTCATGGCGCGGTCAGTGCTGCTCACGCTTCCTGTCGCCCTTGCCTACTTGCTTGTTGTGCACCACGCTGTACCCTTGTCACTCGCGGAAAATCTCCCGTCCCTGTCGCTGCTCCGTTGTTGTTTTCAGGTGTATCACCTGCAGGCATTACGTGTCACTCACCAAAGAGGAATCGCAGGACGGTGGTAGCATATGTAAACTTGTCTCTACAGTACTGTCGACCGTTTTCTTGCGTCTCTTGCCGAACGCCAATCGGCTCTCGGTGCAGTACCACCGCCTTCTGGACCCGACGGGAGAAAAAACTGGAGGGGCGACCCGCAAGTACAACGCACCTCCATGGCGACGACGACAATTGTGTGGGGAAGACGCTGCGGTCGGACTGCTTCGAGTCCTGTGCCTACCGCGAAGGGCCCATGCCGGACATCACACTCCCAATACTATTTCGTACCTCGGGGCGGCAATGTGCATCGCAACACCACCAATGTGCAACCAAATTCGTCTGGGCGGGCGCGGTTGTAGCCTATCAGGACGATCTTCACCGCCTCAGGAGTGACTGTGCAGAGTATCAGCCCGCCAGAATGATCCTACGGCATGACAATCTACCGCCAAGTATCAGCCCGTCAGGCCGAACATCTACGGGCGACATAAATCCTGCCCAAACCGCACGCCGCGGAAGGGAACCCCCCAGCGCTTCTGGAAGAGCATCCTCCACGTCGTCACTGGCGAGGGAAGTTAGGCCGCGCTGTTGTTGTCATAGTTGTTGATGCTGTTGCTGTCGTTGGTGG